TTTAAAATGTATTTATTTAATATATACAAAATTCAATAAAGAATAAAATCACATGCTTAACAAAATAATAAGAAATAATATTGCTATAATAAATTCATTTAAGCACTATTATTTTTGCCAATTCTTTAGCTATACTCAGTTACATTCCAGCTTTAGCCATCTCAACTACACTTTACTATCTCTTCTGCATAGTTGTCATACCTTTTGCCCTTTATAGAGCATTAAAAAGCAGTGCAGAGCTTTATTATGCAACGTGTAAAAAGAGGAAGCTAGAGACAGGAAGGCACGATGTTGCAGCTACCAGCGAGCAGGCGAGCAGGTCTCTCCATAGCTCACTTGCTGGCTGGCTATGTGTGTTCGTGCTTCGTGCTCTGTGTGCTCATTGAGTTGCAAATTTCAAATGCACAAAAGTAATGCAACTCATTTAATTTTCACAATATCCTTGTGCTTTACTTCTGGTTGTAGTCGAGCATATGCTGGGGCGGGGCAAGAGCTGGGGCGGCGCCCCCTTAAGCTAAAGCATATCTCTCTCTTGCTCTCTTTCTTGCTCATTTGCGCTGAGGCTCTGCTTTTGTCACTGTGTCTGTGTGTGTGTGTGTGTGTCTGCGAGTGTGTATGTATGCTTGCTTCCGTTTCCTATGCTTGTTACAATGGCTGACTCGGTACCCCAGTTCGATTCCCGCCCGCGACGCTGCTGGTCCACTCTCAGTCTCAGTCAGCCTGCTTTGTATCACTCTATGCACAATTGCACACAGCACATCAGACACACACACACATGCGCATACATATACATATATGCCTGCCATAGTCGTGCAAAAACAAAGCTCCCAGCTGGCTCGCTGGTTGCGCTGTGAGTTAAGTAAAAATTGGTTCATAGCCTGCCTCTCAGTTAGCAATATATTTTGCCCCATCGACACAGAGTCGAGTCGGATTGAAGCGGAGTGTAGTGAGCCGAGGAGAATCGAGACGCTCCAGTTCGAGTCGTTTGCCAGGGGTTTTAATGAAATGCGCAACGAATTTTTAGTGTCAGTGGAATTTTCAATTGCTCAAAGTTGTTATTGCTATTGTTGTTGTTGTTGTTGCTGCAGTTGCTGCTGCTGCTGCTGCTGCTGCTGTTGTTGTTGTTGCCTTCGCAGTTGCAGTTGCAGTTTATGTTTGAAGAGCCGGTACCGTTGGCTGCACTGAGTTTTGTAGTTTGCCTGAGTAAATTATGTTTACTGTTTGGTTTATTCGTTGTATTTTGTAGCACTGTTTTGCTCTAAACAAGCCGTATGAGGATTTCACATCCAGGAAGAATAAGAGCGTGCGAGAGGGAGAGTTTTTCATGCCTTAACGTCGCTGGCATTCGTTTTAAGCCCAGGTGTAGAAAATGTAAATTAAACAGTTGTTCGAGCAAATAGAGGCTCGACTATTTGTAGCCATCCAAGCAGAGTCATAAAAAGTGCAAAACTCGAAATGGCTTGAGTGGGGCTGCCAGACATTTAAGCTTTATTCTCGACAAATGAGAAATATCAAAGATGAGGAGCAAATATATCAAATAGTAACTCAGAAATTCTTTGAAATATTTTTGAGGCAGTCAGAAGTTGATGGTTTTTTAAGTTTTTATTATGCATTATCTACTACTAGGTTTTTAGATTTCTTAACTTTAGTCAACTATGCATAGTGGTTGTATTTTTGACCGCTCGCTCCATACAAGCCGAACCACCGTGCTATGGTGTCTTTTAGTTTACTTAATGAGAGACTTAGTCGCTTATAAAAAGGAGTTTATTTAGTATAGCTCCTCAGAAAAAAATTCTGCATCTAGAATTAAAGCTCATCCTGATCATATATTTATATTATATACACTTTTATCATTTATTTATTTATACAT